GCGAGACCCAGTAGGACAGTGACAATTGACATTTTAACTATGCCCCGTAACACCCTCTCTATCTAAATTATGGGAAAGGACCTTTGCAAACCGGATAACTGCCATTACGATCCAATGCAATATCTTGCCGGATCACCAATTCGGATTTCGAAAAGGACACTGCACTGTTCACAGATAAGTGAAACACATCATGCAAGCTATTGACGATCTGGAGTTCTCAAACGCTGTCTTCATTGACATGAAGCAAGCGTTCGATAAGGTGTGATATGATGGATTACTGTGCAAACTTATAAACCTTTTATCTTCACCGTACTACGGCCTTTTTAGATCATATCTGGAAGTACGAGAGTTCAAGGTCAAACTAGGGACACATACTCGACCACTTGTACAATAAGAGCAGGAGTGTCACAGGACAGTGTTCTTGGTCCGCTACTCTACTCGTTGTATACCTCAGACATACCAAGCCCTACCTCTCAAAATATTGAAGATCCTTCTAAGGTTATTATTACGACATATGCAGATGACATCGCAGTCATTTATAACTCCATAAGTTACGTAGAAGCAAGTAATGGACTTCTGGGGTATCTGGATACTCTCTCAGCTTGGTGCAAACGGTGGAATTTGAAGGTTAGCCTGCTAAAAACAATAAACCCATGCTTCACCCTCAAAATGCGGATGCATATCCCTTCAATTCAGTTTGAAGGCGTTACCCTGGAGCAGCCGCCACAAGCTAAGCATCTCGGCATCATCTTGGACAGGCGCCTTTCCTTTGGGCTACACCTTAAAGCTACGATAAAAAAAATGTAATCGGAGACTGCAACAGCTGCGGTGGCTCCACAATAAAAGGCGCACCCTGCCGCTGAGATGCAAAAGAGCTCGATACGTGCACTGTACTTTGCCGATATGGCTCTATGGAGCGCAAATTTGGGGGATTACAGCCAAATCCAATTATAAACGCTCTGCAGAATCGGATACTACGACAGATAACCAACTGTCCCTGGTACGTACGCGTTTCTGCACTCCATAAGGACCTCAAAAAGCATGCAGTTGAAGAACAGATTGGAAGGCACACAAACGAAAACAGCGATAGATTGCTAAGACACCTGAGCCTGCTCGCAAAAGGTTTTGCCAAGACAATTGGGCGCCAGTAAGACCACCCGCATTTAAAATGCCTATACTGCTTTATGGGGTTCGGATCTAAATTACATTTTCTATCCATGTGTTGTTAAGGTACTAAATTATGAATGCACAGGTTCAACATTAAATATTAATAAATAAATAAATAAAAAATATTTATATTCAATTTGAGTTATGGCTCCGAAGCAGAAAACGAATCAGCTGTTTGTTTACGAAGCATTGAAGCTAATATAGGCATATGCCAATCTGAAACACTGATCTTTGTCAATGTTTACATTAAAATACATACTTTCTAATTTAAATTGTATTTAATTTAAAACAATTGACCAATTGAATAAAATGTAAAATACAAACGCCCGTTGCATTAATTTCCATATTTCTCGTCAGTTCCGTACGGCTCAGTTTCTAGAATTGTTGCTTTTTATCTTATAATATATTATGGTTACAATGATTACATTCAAATTTTCATTCGAAAGGTTGTAGATCTTACAAAAGTATATATTAAATGCCAGTCGACATACTTATCGTTAGACAGTTTTGCTGAGGTTTCGAATACTGACATTTTACTTAAAACTTTTTGCAGTCGAATCTATTTACTTTCTTAATGCTTAAGGTATAAAGAATACATCAAAAATTCAAGTCCTTTGTTATAATACATTGATTTTGCTTATACCCTGAACCCATTAAAAATAGGAATAAGGGTATATTTTATTTGTGCAATATCCAAATTTATGTAACAAGCAGAAGGATGTATCTACGACCCCATAAAGTATATATATTCTTGATCAGCATCAATAGCCGAGTCGATCTAGCCATGTCTGTCTGTCTGGCTGACCGCCCGTCCGTATGTGTGAACGCAAGGATCTCAGAACCTATAAGAGCTAGAGAAATTTTAGATGCAGGTGCTCATACTGCCTGTGCAGATCGAGTTTGTTTCCAATAATCGATAACTTACTCCATTTTATAGCAATCGATAAAAATTGATATCGATATCATGTTTTTTTGCGCAATTTTGGTAAATAATAAGAGCTAGAGTCACCAAACTTGACATATAGCTTCTAAAATAGAATATATAAGTTAACACTTAATATAGGCTATTTCATAAGTTATAATCAACCCTCGCTATCGCGTGCTTCATAAGTTAAGAAATAGCCCCCGCAATTGCGACACTGCATACTTTGTATCAGCGCGCAATAGCTGCAATGGTCAGCGGCGGTAACCGGACACTTTTGTTTTGCTGCAAGAGTTTCCGTTATTGCCTAAGATTTTGCTGAGTCGGCTTGCCGACCATGACATTGTGGCGTGATGCGAGTTTTGGCTTAGCTTAAGTAAAACTTTCTGTGCATTAAGTTTCTTTAGTTTTGAGTTCAGCGCTCTTCCAATAAGTCGCTTAAATAAATATTCACTCCGGCACTTAGCCGTTAAATAATTTGTTTTATTGTCTGAGCCCGAGGCCAGCAATAAGAGGCACAGTCGCCTCTCAACCTAATCTTCAGCCACTACAAGACTGAAGGATGTTAATTGGCGCCCAACTAGTGGTCGGACTCCACAACCAAAACAAGTAAAACAGCAGCACTAAGATAGCAGCGCGGGAGCTGCAACAACCAACAACAATTAAGACAGCAGCGCGGGAGCTGCGAGTGACCAATTTTATAAAGAAAATTTGTTTTGTGTTAATTGAATCATGTTTGGATCCATATTACTCCTTTCCTTATCAGTGGCTTCAGCACATGTCACCGACTACTCGCGTGCCAAGTACATTCCCATCGTCGACGGTGAAATCTTGGTATGGGAAGAATACGCCTATGTTAGGCACTCGGCAAACCTCTCAGAGTACGTGCGAATGGTGGAAGAAACGGTCAAATTAATTGACATGTTCCTGCTATCCCACATGAAAAAACTTCTAAGTGTGGACACGGCACATCTACAAGACCTATTGGAGGCGTTAGACACACACCATAGAGTCGCCAGGAGCTAAGATTTCCTAGGATCCATACTGAAGGTTGTGGCGGGTACACCCGGTGCCGGTGATTTAGAGCAGATTAGGTTCACTGAAAGGCAACTAATAAATGCCAACAATAGACAAATAGAAATAAAAACTAGAGTTCAAGACCAGCTTAACCAGTTAACAATCACTGTCAATAAAATTCTCAAGATAACCAAAAACTCACAAGTTGACACTAGCCATTTATTGAAACGCTACTGACTAGAAACAGAATGCTGATGATGGAGTTGCAAAATTTAATGCTTGCTATTACTCTTGCGAAGGCTAACATTATTAGCCCAAACATTTTGGACCACTCAGATTTGAAATCAATTTGGCTAGAGGAACCCACCAACACTCCCATAGGAGATCTTATGTCCGTTGCGTCCGTAAAAGTTCTTCAATCCATTAACACTATACATTTTATAATTAAATTCCCAAATATTAAAAAATCTTGCAGAAAAATTACGATTTATCCTGTCGTCCACAAGAACTTCATATTGCGATTGTTTGACAACGTCATAGCCGAATGCGATGGAGAAACCCACACACTGCAGAGTTGCGCCGCTTCACCTGGAGCCACATTTTGTCGTCTGGCATTAGAGAGTTCATGTGCCAAAGAGCTCCATGAAGGTGGCACGGCACACTGCGAGATCCAGCCGAGCAACCTGGAAATAATCACCCATGTAGATGACGGAATCATCATCCTCAACGACGGGTCCGCAAGGATTCAGGTGGACAACGTCACTGCTGAACATCACTGCCAGCCAAGATGTCCTCAGCCTCCCTTACCTTCATCGTTTGAGTGAACGTAATTTGGAGGCGATACAGCAATTCAAGAAAGACGTCGGAACTGATCAAGCTTATCGTGTGGCATTCATCATTGGAGCCATATGCTGTGCTTTAATATGCATTGGCACTCTTTGGCGGATCATCGACGCAAAGAAGTCTGCGAAGCAGTTACGAGAAGTCGTCGCCGGGATTGGGTCGGCCGAGGACGGCCTTATAATTGAAGGGGGAGTAGTTAACACATAACACTTAATATAGGATATTTCATAAGTTATAATCAACCCTCGCTATCGCGTGCTTCATAAGTTAAGGAATAGCCCCCGCAATTGCGACACTGCATACTTTGTATCAGCGCGCAATAGCTGCAATGGTCAGTGGCGGTAACCGGACACTTTTGTTTTGCTGCAAGAGTTTCCGTTATTGCCTAAGATTTTGCTGAGTCGGCTTGCCGACCATGACATTGTGGCGTGATGCGAGTTTTGGCTTAGCTTAAGTAAAACTTTCTGTGCATTAAGTTTCTTTAGTTTTTAATTCTGCGCTCTTCCAATAAGTCGCTTAAATAAATATTCCGGCACTTAGCCGTTAAATAATTTGTTTTATTGTCTGAGCCCGAGGCCAGCAATAAGAGGCACAGTCGCCTCTCAATATAATCTTCAGCCACTAGAAGACTGAAGGATATTAATTTATATATGCATTTGATGTTGGAAGAAGAGGGTTCAGGGTATCCCCTAGTCTGGAGCTTCCAACTAGAACCTCTTACTTGTTTTTGAATGGCCGTTGTATGGAAAACTTTTTTTTCATTCAAGATATTTTGATTAAACATAAAGATTTCACTATGCTACCTTCATTTTTGCGAAATCTTATTTATATCGGACTAATATATCATATATCTGCCATAGTAACGCTCGGTCGAAAACCAGATTTTTGATTAAAAACTTTTTTTTGTTTATCAAGATATTTTGCCCAAACTCGGCATCAACTATTTTCCCTGTGCTTCTTAGATACGGGCAAAACACTATAAGCATTATGAAAAGGTCGGATCTCCAAGGGTATAGATCTTCGGCGTGCCGAAGATAGCCGTTCTTTCTCGTTTATTTTTCTCTTTTTTATTGCAAACAAATGTTGGCACAACACAAGCAAATCTTAGTTTTTTAATTCAGAAAAACTTATCTCTTTAACAATTTCACAAAATAGTACCAAGCTTAAATCATACTTTAACGTGATCTTAACCATTTAGTTTAGTTTCTGTTTTTTCTTAAATCAATTGAATGTGTGTATTTTTTATGTATGTATGTTTTGCACTTTGCTTGCATTATATTACGTGGTCCAAGTACTCTGCCATTTCCTTTGGCCAGCAGCTTAACATCTTTCACCCTTATTGATGTTCTTCACGTGCTTCAGTAATTTCAACGTTGACAATAATTTATTTTTCTTTTTTCTTTTTCAACTCTATTATTATATTCATCACAAATATTCAGCTCCTCGAGCACTTACCCTCCTGGCAATTTTCTTAAATCTTCATGTGCATATTTGTAATTTCGTTTATTGGTTAAGGACTTTAAAGTGTGCCATTCACCCTCTAAAACCTGTGTTATTTTATCAGGCCCCTTGAATTTTGGACATAGCTTAGTTTGATGCTATGCTTCGCTTTTAAGTAATACAAAATCTCCAACTGTGTGCCTATGTTCTTTTGCCTTATTTTTATCAAATCGTTCTTTGTCATAAACGGCAGTAGCTAAAACTTTCTTCTCGGCTTATGCTCTTACATTTGACAGATCAACTTCATTTTCCCATTCACCAGAGGACTTGCCCTTGTCACAAAGTTAGTCATTCAATTGACTGCCAACTGCACCGCTCCTAGCACATCCTGCCAAGATTGCTTTCCAGTTTCAGCCGCCGTTAACATATTTTTCAAAGTGCTCATTGTCCATTCCACTTGGCCATTAGCTCGACTAACTCCGATGGCAATCAACTGCAAGTTTATTTTATGATCTGAACAGAATAAAATAAACTTCGCTTGACTTTCGGGATTGGATGCAGTGCAGCCTGAATTTTTCCTGAAGTTGATTTGGAAATTTTGCAAGTGAAGCAGTTGTGAAACAAATTAATTGATATATTTTGAGATATTTTCAAACCAGTAAAACTCGTAAATTTTGTCCAGAGTCTTTTCGAAACCTAAATGCATAATTAACTCGTGAACTTTGGTTATAACGGACCATCTGAAAGCACGCTCCACCACTGGTACATAGTGTGTTCTGCCATTTCCCTGTATTCTCCGGTGAAGAACTTCTGCCCTAGTTCATAGATTTTCGCAATATTTTCAGGAAGAGAAAAATCCCACAATTTCGGCTATATATAAGTAAGTCGCTGTTCAGCAATGAGCAAATTGCTTGAAATTTCGACCAAGCTAACTCTCTTTTCTTCAATCGCCTTTCTTTTCTTTTCCCTTCTCTGTACTGAATGTATAATGTAAATGACTGCAACTAAGCCTGCCAGCGCACTAGGGGTAAAATCTTGTTTATTTCTTGACGCCTTTGGTGAGTTAATCGGTATAAACAATAAAATTCCCACTCAACAAACAGTGTCGATAAAGGTTTAATGGCGTTTACTAAAGCTAAAGTTGCCAACTCATACGAGTAGTATCTCGACTCTGCAGGTGAAGTAGTTTTGTTATATAGTTCTATTACCTTGGGCTTATTATTTATTTTGTCCACTGCAACTTGCATCTGTATGCAACTCAATTGGGTAATTTGGGTCAAAAACAATAACAACTGATTTATCAGCAAGAAATAACCTTCTCCTTATCTGCTCATGCTCTGTTTTCCAAATAAATTTATTTTTGTCTGAAGTTAAAATAAAACGGTTATTATACCCTGAAGGGGTATATTGGGTAAGGGTATATTGTATGTGTGCAAAATGTATGTAACAGGCATAAGGAAGCATCTCCGGCCCCATAAAATATATATATTCTTGATCAGCATCAATAGCCGAGTCGATTTAGCCATATCCATCTGTCTGTCCGTCCGCCCGTCCGTATGTATGAACGCAAGGATCTCAGAACCTATAAGAGCTAAAGACTTGAATCCGATAATCGATAACTTACTCCGTTTCCAAGCAATTGATAAAAATCGATATCGATATCCTGTTTTTTGGGCAATTTTGGTAAATAATAAGAGCTAGAGTCACCAAACTCGACACATAGCTTCTAAAATAGAATATATATATGCATTTGATGTTGGAAAAAGAGGGTTCAGGGTATCCCCCAGTCGGGAGGTCCCGACTGGAACCTCTCAAATAAGTGTAATATAAAACTAAATAAAATAAAAATGTAAATAATGTTTTTCTTTCCAAAATGCAAACTGGTATCATTTACACGGACTTCAGTAAGGCGTTTGACTCTGTGGACCATGTCATTTTAATTCTTAAACCTAAACTTAAATAGTTTTCCCTCCATCTCTTTTGCTTCGGTTTAGTTCTTATTGAAAATGTAGAGTCACGTTACTTCGTATGTTTCCCAAGGTAGTCATCTTGGACCTTTATTTTTTTTATACCCTGCACAAATTTAGGGTATATTGCATTCGTGCAAAATCCAAATGTATGTAACAGGCAGAAGGAAGCATCTCCGACCCCATAAAGTAGATATATTCTAGATCAGCATCAATAGCCAAGTCGATCTAGCCATGTCCGTCTGTCTGTCCGTCCGTCCGTATGTATGAACGCATGGATCTCAAAACATATATGAGCTATAGACTTGAAATTTTAGATGTAGGTGCTTCTAGTACCTGTGCAGATCGATTCTGTTTCCGATATTCGATAACTTACTCTGTTTCCAAGCAATCTAAAAAAAACCGATATCGATATTCTACCAAACTTGACATATAGTTTCTAAAATAGAATATATAAATATGCATTTCATGTTGGAAGAAGAGGGTTCAGGGTATTTCCTAGTCGGGAGCTCCCGACTAGAACCTCTTACTTGTTAGACTTGAACTCGTGAAAAATCATGTGGGGAGGCCGAAATTTGGGATCATAAATGATTGGGAATATATCATGTGAAACATTTATTTTGAGAGATGATATTTTACGAGGAGTGGAGAAATTAAATTTGGTAATTGACACGCTAGCAGAAGATTTGCAAGCAATATAGGCTGTCAAGAAGATATAGAAACTTACCTACGAGGGGCAACAACAGTCAAAGTAGGAGCTCCAGGTAGTACAAGATTTGGTGGGGCCAATGAGGCACCATGATTTTACTTTACAGGGCCTAATGAGACTACTACAAGGGATAAAACCAGGGTTATAATTGGTTAGTCGCTAGTCGTTAAATCCTAGTTGCCAGGCATTAACAAAAGAGGCGTAGCTGTATGTACAGAGGTAGAACTGATTAGCCACGTTATTAAGCTTCACGAATTGATGTCTCATAGAATTAAACATTTTGGAGAAATCAATAGGCTTGTCGATTCATTCTGGCTACGACCAACGCAGGCCACCGCAGCCCTTCTTAGCAATTGCAGTGATCTTGCCACAATCACGCCCAGTGAGACATGCACATTTAGCATGCGCCACATTCTCACAGAGCCAGCAATTAACAAATTGCGGCAGTGCGGGATTATCAGCCTGCTTGAAAGTGCAAGGTTTCTTACTGCACGGCATAAGATAAGCAGAACCTGCGAGAGGACAGAGCGAAACAAAACACAGTGCAGCAAAGTGAGGGAGCAAGTAAACGCTAAAATAATAACTATTCGTACACAAAAAAATTGCAAAAAAGTCAAGACAGACAATAACAACAACACGGAACTGTTTAATACACATTCAATAGATGCAATAGTTAACAGACTTACAGATAACATTTTGAATAAGTTATTAAAGTTTTTTAAATAAAGCACATCAAATGCTAAATTTAGATTAAAAAAGTTGGATTGAAGCGCACAAATATATTCAAATCTTGGAGCACAAGTGAAGCACGTCAATCACTCTAAACTGAGAACTCTCTCAACAACGCACTCAAAAACAAGTAAGAGGTTCTACTCGGGAGCTCCCGACTAGGGGATATCCTGAATCCTCTTCTGTCAACATCAAATCCATATATATATTTTATTTTAGAAGCTATATGTCAGTTTGGTGACTGTAGCTCTTATTATTTACCAAAATTGCTTAAAAAACAGGATATCGATATTGATTTTTATCGATTGCTTGAAAACTGAGTAAGTTATCGATTATGGGAAACAAACTCGATCTGCGCGGGAACTAGGAGCATCTACATCACTTCAAGTCTCTAGCTCATAGGCTTTGAGATCCTTGCGTTCATACATACGGACGGACGGACGGACGGACGGACGGACGGACGGACGGACGGACAGACAGACGGACAGACGGACGGCTATTGGAGCTGTTACATACATTTGGGTTTTTCTCAAATACAATATACTCATACCCATACCCATACCCAATATACTTATACCCATTTTTAATGGGTTCAGGGTATAATTAAATAATATTGGAAACCTATATGCTCTGAATGAAAATTTAATTTTAACTGAAACCACCCAAGAAGTAAGATAATTAATAAATACGAAAATCTTGACGAAAACCTATGAATACTTTACCAAAACATCTCTGCAATACAATGGATAAAACTACAATGATGGACGTGTTTTTCGTTCTCTACATTCCATTATGCTACTTGCGCTCCCGTCAGAAATTCCGACCGGCTACTTTTATATAATCTATTCTAATCCTTCTGGTCAATGTATGTTTCTTATTTTTATCCTTCGGCATCACCAAATTCAATATACCTTACAATATGGACTACTTTTAACGCTTACTAACGATTTCTATATTTTATATTTTTACATATACGACTCTGCATATTGCAAGATCGGGTGAGATAATTTTGGTTTTAGGCAGCTAGTTCTTTTCTACAAAAAAAAAATAGTTTTAATTTCCGTTCTCCTAAATTTTTTTAGATTGCTTCCTGGTAATGACAGAATTGTAGCTCAAAGGCTGGACAACGATTGCATGTGGCATCTTTTAAGGCACTTGCACGGACCACTGCCTATATTCTGGCAAATTTGATTTAATTAAATTGTATCACTAACCAAACAACATATAGACTGGACTATCGGAGTAAGGAAATGGGGCCGCTCGTTTTCTGTGCGCCTACTCCAGTCCCCTTCGTTTTTGTTCTGGTTCATAAAACGCTTTATTTTATTCCCTCGCACTGCAGGAAACTGCTTTGGCTTACTCTCAGTGCTCTTTCAATTTGTATATTAACCGTTTTACTGTCTGTGTGTGTGTATCTGTCCGCACAAGCAAAAATGCTCACAAATTCAAGTAGCTTTCTTCCCTTTCTAAGGGACAAGTTATATGAAACAATGAAAGGGTTTGCCACGTCGTTGCGAAGTTCTTGAATGTTAGCTCATTATCGTTGGTAAGGTTACCTAAGCGATACCATGTGTGCATTTAAAACATTTTGGACTCGCTATTCACGCATACTTGCATATTTTGTATATGAATAGAGGAATTTGTGCACTTGTGTGCCTGTTGGTGGCCTTTCTGCGTATCCCTTGCAAATTTGACAAGATTTTAAGTTTTTGTGATTTCTGAATTCGGGGATCTAAAAACACACATACAAATATGTGAGAATGGGCAGATCATGGGTGCTAGAGAAATTTCATTTTATACATATATATACATTTATATATAGGTGGACCTTAACAATTGTCCACTGTATGCATTTGTTCAGGTTGTCCGATAGCTTGTTCAAAAAGTAACCGAAATTCGTTAGTCCAAGAGTAAATATAAATAGTTTTGTTAGCCGACTCTTCAATCGAGGTCTTAATCACCCCTGGTTGATCTCCGGCAAATCGATTAAAGGAATGTGAATGTCAAATCGGATCATAACAAATGGTATATATATATAACCACTAACCAAACAACATATAGAATGGACATGAGTATCGGAAAGTAGGCACAAAATGTATCTTAGACATCTGGTCCAAACTCGCCAATATGGGAGTAAGATATACATATATGTATTTTTGCACCGCTTACTCTACAGGAAAGTGCTTGGCGCACTCTCTTCCCTATGATTTGTGCGATAGAACGGCAACGCTGTTAACTTTTATCTCGCTCGCATTTACTCTCAACTCCCAATGCTCTCTCTATGATTAGGGATCGTTTAAATGTGTGTGTGTGTGTATGTGTCCGACAAGCAAAACTGCGCACAAATTCAATTTTTCCCAAATGCCGAGGCATTTCCACCCTTTTGAAGGCACGGCTAATATGAAATAGAGAAAGGGTTTGCCACGTCGATGCGAAATACTTGCATTTTAGCTCGCTATCGTTGGTAAGGGTACCCATGCGTTGCCATGTGTGCATTTAAAATATTTTGGACTCGCTGTTCACGCATACTTGCATATTTTGTATATGAATAGAAGCATTTATGCGCTTGTGTGCCTGTTGCTTGCCTGTCCCCGATGCAAATGTAACAAAATTTTGGGATTTCTGATTTTGGACCTCTACACATAGACACACACATACAAATGTCTGTGAATGGGCAGATCATGGGCGCAAAGAAAATATCATTATTGGCACGCGTCTGACGCGCGCCCTCTTTTTTATGATTTTGATGAATGCCTTACCAACGATAGCAAGCTAAAATGCAAGAATTTCGCATCGACGTCGCAAACCCTTTCTCTATTTCATATTAGCCGTGCCTTCAAAAGGGTGGAAATGCCTCAGCATTTGAGAAAAATTGAATTTGTGCGCAGTTTTGCTTGTCTGACACATACACACACACACACACATTTAAACGATCCCTAAAAATAGAGAGAGCATTGGGAGCTGAGAGTTAGTGCGAGCGAGATAAAAGTTAACAGCGTTGCCGTTCTACCGCACAAATCATATGGAAGAGAGTGCGCCAATCACTTTCCTGTAGAGTAAGCGGTTCAAAAATACATCATATGTATATCTTACTCCCTTACTCGCGATTTAGGACCAGATGCCTCCGATACTTTTTGTGACAACGTTGTTTGTATGTGATGTTGTTTGGTTAGTGATATAACATAAAGGCGGCACGGTTGCGGCACTCTTTAAATAGCCTTCATGTTACGGGCAGCAACAAACTTATAAAAATAAATACCATACAAACACTATGCTGTTTTTGGGATTGCCAGCTGGATGAAAGTTATCGATAGATTCGGGAAAGACTTCAGGAAATGTTGGAAACAGAAAGGGCTTCAAATCTCCTTGCTGACGCGTAAATGCTTAAGCTTACGCTCCTCAGTGCAATGTTAGATACTTTTCTCTTAATCTGTCCTCTTTTTTATGTGACGGAAAGGTTCAGGTTGTAATATTTGTATACGCTAATGAACCCATTTTATGAACTAAAATGTAATGTAATGAAAATAAATATAATATATATTATTTACCATAATATAACATTTGTATTAGTTTACTTTAATTGACTCTTTTTTAAATGTGTCGGCTTAATACAGAAGTCACGGTTATTATAATTTATTACTGCCATTTTTATTTAACAGTGATAGTTGTTGGTATGATACTAACGATCATTTCTACACGACACTCGGTAATCGGCACTCTTTAAATATCCTTTATGTTACGGGCAGCAATAACATTATAAAAATAAATAATACACGAAACATTTATATTATTTTATTTTAAATTCCAGGAAATTCTATGATTTATGATTTTTTATGCGATCGGCTAGCATTTGGCTCTGGCTCTTTTCTTATGTTCTTTTTTTCTTCTCATCAACAAAAGCCACTCTCCCCTTTAAAAATGCCCAGAGTTACACTTATGAACTGGTGGCTCAAATAGTTGCGTAATATAGGCATAGATACCTTGAACCCAAGTAAACGATATTATTGTCTTGTATAAATATATGTAACAAGCATCTCAACCCCATTAATGTATACATTTTTGATTAGCATCAATGTCCGCCAAATTCGAAATATATTTTTTAAAAAGTTCTCTGATCAATTATTTTATAGCTAGAACTTTTTCTTGCCTAATGCCATGTTATCTGGTAATAACTGGAACTGGTTACTCTTAAGTACTAGTTACTGTAAGTGGCTTGAATAAATATTGCTCATCTCTATTATTAAGATATATTGAATTCTGAGCTAGGTATAATTCTAAAATAGGTAATGTAGACTGCCACGCTCAATAACTCCACTTAATAAAGGTGGTAAATTACAACAAATAATAATGTACTTAACATTTTCTGTGCAGGGGCAGTAATATGACTGAAATCTGTGAGCCCTTGAACTTGGCAAGGGGTGAGGCATACATTATCAGATAAAGAGCTTTATAAATCAATTATATTTACAGATGTAAAAAGGTCAATAGAATTATTAGAAAAACTTCAGGCTAGCGGAGATTTTCCAACAACAAAATTAGCCGCATTACAAAAAGTTCTAAATTCTGATTTTTTGAACTCTGTGCGTGAAGTCTATGAACACGTTTACGAAACAGTTGATATACAAGGTTCACACGATGTTCGGGCATCTGCAACAGCTAAAGCAACTGTGGCTGCTTTTGCTGCCAGTGAAGGCCATGCACATCCAAGAGTTGTAGAATTGCCAAAAACAGAGGAAGGTATGTATGTTTGTATTATACTCATTTGTGTCGATTTGTGTAAGTCGTAATAAGTAGTGAGTAGTGAGAATATAGGCGACGGTATATTGATTGCAATTTCGCAGAATCGAAGCGAGCTGTCCCAAGTTACAATTATAAAATTTATTTCTAATAATCTGTTGAATTAAAGTTCGAGCAAGAATCAATATCGTTAGATAAAACAAAAAAATTTATAAAATAAAGTAATAAAAAAGACAGTAAAATGTTGGTCATCAGGTTAGCACACCCTACTCTTCTTAAGCTTTTAAGCCATGAACTTATGTCTTAACCTTAATACCTAAAGGTTTTGCAGCAAATTGATCATATCAATTTTCTCTTATTGACTGTGAGCTCATAAATTTGATTATGAATCGATTTGTACAAATTTTGAATATACTTCATAAACTTACATTTTGAAAATCATCGAAAACATTTTAAAAATGGGAAAAAGCTGTTTCTGAGATCCTTTGCATTCCTATATACGGACGGAAAGACAGACAATCATGGCTAGACCGGCTCGGCTATTGATGCTGATCAAGAACATATAGTCTTTATGGGGTCGGAGTTGCTTCCCCTTGCCTATTATTAAGATTTTTACAATAACATTTTACCATTGTCAATAGATTCAGGATATAGCAAGTAAGAGCATCTAGTCGCGATCTCCCGACTTGGGAATACCCTGAACCGTCTTATTCCAACACCAAATACAGTTCGCAACGCGCTCGTTTGTAGTAAAGAAGATAAATTAAAAAAAAAAAGGTTTCTTGGCAGGGTTAGAGCTTGCAACTGACCGTATTACTTGTTGACTAATCAACAGCCACACCTGCCACAAAAAAAAAAAATAGGTTTCCCGGTGGGGTTCGAACTCGCGATTGAGCGCACCAGTTGCTATGCCTTTTCTCAACAGCCACACCAATAATTTGATATTATATAAAAAAAAAAGCAATGTTCTTGAATAGCTTTGAAAATGATTTGAAACTGAGCGTACAGTAAACTAACTACTCTCATACAAACGTCTCAAATGATTTTTCATGCAGACCCATGCAAATGAATTTGAAGGCAAAGGCCACCCACCAAGTCTTAGACTCCCATTTCCACAAAGGAGGAATGGATTTTTAGCATCTTTAAAAATAAGTTTGAGGCCGATCCGATGGTTAACAAAAAAGTTTCATACCATCGTTTTTCGCTAATTAACCACAATTGTGGGTGGGATTTTCCAAATTGCTGAAACACGTATTCATTAAGTTCTTATGTAGAGCTTTAAAAATAAGTTTGAAGCAAATCGAACACCACTAAAAACTTCGCCCAAAAAATTTTTAAATCGCATTTCTACCGAAGAAGTTTAGATTTTTCATAAAATGTGAAACACGTCTCAAATGATTTTTCGTACAGAGCTTTGAAATCGAATTTGAGCGCGAAACGTCACGCACTAAATCACTGAAAATAATTTCAATTATAATTTATATAGTCATAGTTTATATCTGACTTGCATGTTTTTCAGGTTTGGGCTTCAATGTAATGGGAGGCAAAGAGCAGAACTCTCCAATTTATATCTCGCGAATAATACCTGGTGGTGTTGCAGATAGACATGGAGGGCTAAAAAGAGGAGATCAGCTGCTTTCAGTAAACGGAGTGGTAAGCTTACACTATGTCATAACGTGTGGTGGGTTTGTGAAAAATCCCACAGTACAGTTTCTTACAACGGTTTTATACTCTTTTTTAAAGACACTTGTTAAAATTTATGCAAGTGGCTTACACTTATCGAAAATTCGGATTCAAAGATCTAATGGGAAAGTTTTAGGTTGTAACTTATTTCCAACTAGTGCATATTAAGTAAAGACTTATTTCACACCTCTCGTCTAATTCCACAACTCTGGTACTTAAAATACAAATCAACAATTTTTTTTGTCCGATCCTTTTATATGAATGAGTGCGTGTAATAGCGATTTTGTAAATTTCGAGCGACATGTGTAGTGAATTACGGGAAAACAGTTGTATGCGTCCTTTTGCTTACTATCCGACCGGATCGGGACTTTTTTTTAAAGATATTTGTGAAAATTTCTTGGACACATGTTTCACAATTGTCCAGAAACAAAGAGAATTGTTGGGAAATGCGAGACAAAACTTTTAGTTCAATTTCATCCTGTGAAAAATATATCTAGATGTGGAGTTCAAGGTGGTTGATTCGGTTAGATTTATATTTACAAACTTCAACGCAATAAAAATTCTTAACCTAAGTACATATGAATATATGTATTAAAAAAGGCATTAAATTTGGAAATTAGTTTTAACATCCGAACTATGGTTGATAAAACCGATTCTGAAAGTTTAATTACTGTCTTCTACTCCAAAACTGTAAAATGTGAGTTAGGGAATATTCGAAAAATATTAAATATGAACATTAGTATATCATGACCAAAAATTACATCATTTTTGCTTAATTCGTAAGTGTTTAAATTTAAAAGTGTATATGAACCGTAAATATATTCATCAGATTTCAGGGAGCGGATTTCGGGCAAAACGGCTATGAGATTCTCGAGTAATAGCTATTTTTATAATCCACAAATAAATTATATTAAGATTATAGTATTTTTGTTTCTTTTCAGTCGGTTGAAGGGGAAAATCATGAAAAAGCAGTTGAATTATTAAAGCAAGCGGTTGGTTCCGTAAAGCTTGTGGTACGTTACACACCCAAGGTTCTTGAAGAAATGGAAATGCGATTTGATAAACAACGTAATACACGTCGTCGTCAGTAGAGCTAACAAAAATGTATCTTACAATTGCAACAAACATTTTAACATGCTTTAAAAATCTCAATAATAACATAATGCGCTCTTTAGTTGCAGTTAAAAGGGTTGCTGCCTTATATTATAAAAATATAAAAAACTAGAGTAAACTCGACCAAATATTATACATTTGTTTTAACTAAAATTACGTATGGATATATTATACTTTTAAGCTTATGTCGGCTGAACGATAATCAACTTTATTTTATATATTTACTTGTTGGCAGAATTACATTTTTACCTTAAATTTGAGCTGTAAAATTAACGAGTCTACTGTTAGTCTTTAATTGATACCCAAGTTTTATCCCACTCCTTATGTAGCTTAAACTAATGGTAGTCAACAAATAAGATAAATAATGCAAATTTTTAAAATGTCTGTTGATTCTGATAATAAATTGCTAAAAAAAATTAAATATGTTAACCTCTTTTTAATTTATTAAGCAGCAACCCACCCTCGTATTGTATAATTTAGTATCTCAAATATCAAGTTGCTTATGTGTTATATTAATAATATGCTTTTAAGAATGCAAAAATTAACATACCGAACGGCATAAAAAATAAACATATTTCTTGTCCACAAATAAACACAATTATTGAATCTAATTTATTAATTTAGTTAGGTGCTTTCATTATTATTTTTATTTTGAATGATAAAAATTATATATTTTTGTTTTGAGAATCTAACTTAACTATATAAGATAATTTAAGAATGAAACGTTTAGGCGATAAACGGAGTTTTAACAAAAGGTTCTAGTCTCCCGACTAGGAGATACCGTGAACCAAATTCAATATAAACACTGAGTAACGCCATACAACAAAAAGCAACCAATCAAGTTTTTTGAGAATTGAGAACGCAAACGAAGTCTGTATTCCTGCGTTCTCACACCCGAGAGAGCGAAAAAGCTAAAAATAAAATGTTCTCTCAGCCTCGGCTCTATGAGGGACGTGCAAACACTTATGTTTGTATGCGTGTGAATATACATACATAACAGCATATTTGACTGTGTTGTTAAAGTCTCTGGCTGGCAAAGAAATAAATTTTCTTAGTTTTCTAGCGCTGATCATGATCTATCCCTAATTTGTGTTGACATATGTATGTATGAATGCATTTGTACTAAGGTTGGCTCCGTAAAAAATGTGTATTTTTAAGTCGATGCAAATATTTATATAATTTCTTTTAATTAATTTCATAAAGCAAAGATATTTGCGTCGTTCAAAACTTTTTCGCTCAATGTACTTCGAAAACGAAGCGACGCAAAGCAGCATTGACCAGCAATGCTGAAGGCAGGCTGGCGACTAACTTCGTAGCTCGTGTCAGCATCAGCAAGCCGCGACTTCGGCATTCGTTCGTCTGGCCTTTGGAGAACGAACAACCAGTCGGCAGGCATGCCGTACAAAGCCTCAAAGGCCAGATGAAAGACCAGGCTAGAAATTTTGCGTCGCATTCAATTGTATGGGCGTTCCTCATCTTAGTGTTCGCAGTTGCATATAACTTTGGTTTTTTCTTAACCGATCTTTATGAGATTTTCTACAGTATATCTTTCTGTACCGTAGAATATTTGTGTATATTGAAAAAATCAATTGCATTTAAATTGAGGGTTAAATTGGTTGGCAATTTAAGTTGGGTTATTAACATGATTTAAATCTCTGTGGCGGTAGGGGGGAAGTGGCGATAGATATAAAATGACAAATATATAATATTCTAGAAGCAGCATATCATGTTTGGTGACTATAGCTCTTATTATTTACCCAATTTTCTCAAGAATCAGGAAGTCGAAGTAAGTTAATCGATTATCGGACAACAAACTCGACCTGCGCAGGCACTAGGCGCACCTTCATATAGAATTTCAAGTCTCTAGCTCTTATAGGTTCTGAGATCCTTGCGTTCATACATACGGATAGAGGGACAGACACACGGACATGGCTAGATCGACTCGGCTATTGAAGCTGATCAAGAATATATATATACTTTATGGGGGAGATGCTTCCTTCTGCCTGTTACATACATTTGGATTTTGCACAAATACAGTATATATATAAAAAAAGAATTTTCCTTGGCATGGTTCGAACTTGCAAATGACAGTATTACTTGCTTAACGGTTCGATAACCGTTCCATAACCGTTCCAGACAAACTTGTTACCATCGACCACGGCCAAGAAGGTTACTCGCGGACAATTGGGATCAGATGAAAGCAGTGTGAGTGGATGTGAGGATATATTAGCATGCTGGAGTACACCGCACCCTTGATCTATTACAACGCTAAGAGATTTAAAAAAGTCTTTATCGTCCCTGTGCTTGTTCAGCAATAGCAGATCGTTTTGAAATAGTTATGTTGGATGTTCGTCGAGGCGAAGTTCTGCTGATGTCTATGTATATGCATATACCATAACTCGAAGTGACCGATTGTACGAACTATTTTCGTTAAGTCAGTCAGTTTGATGATTGCAGTAAATCTAGGATTCCGTTTCTCAGCATCGATAGTATCCCTTATCAAATCATTGTCGCGCTCGCAGCAGAGCTATTTTGCTACGGTAACAATTCATACTGAATTATGGACATTTTGTTTCCAACTGTCTAATAGATTGCTGTTGCAGCCAGTACAAAATATTCTACGAATCAGACTCTCTGTGTTATTTGCCGCCGAATTGGTTTTGATCGTGTTATATATAAATTACTCAGAAATTGAGGTAAGCTCCACTTTTTTTCAGGGAAATGAGTTTGTAGCAGCCACATCTCCTGTTTTGAAATCTTCAAGATGATGATGATGATTGACATCAGAAATCCCAACGGATCGAAAAGTGAAGACGTAGTCGAATGAATAGGTTTATTTGGAGCCGTGAAATACAACATTAAATTCAAATAGTGGGACATCACGATGTTTCATATGCCAAGTTCGCTAGTGTCAGCATTTCATCCAAATTTAAGTTGTTGTCAGATTCGTCGTCTTTGACAGCGGGATTAATTAATTCAACTTACGGTGCCTGTCCTCGGCTAAGTGATTCGGTGACCTTAATGTCCTGAACGCCGATAATCTTGCTTGCTCCGCGAATCGAATTGTGGTTAAACGTTAAACGGCGATGCTTGCAATTTTCACAACAGTTTCAGGGGTACACTGAATTATGTCCTGATTGCAATAAGTTAATGCAGTGTACAGCATTTTTTTCGACTTCCTCATTTAATTTGCGACTCATACATTGAAACTGAGAACGTCGTACAATGTCATGGCAGGAACTCATGGTTGGTCATGTACTGGATGCTTGGGAATCATATTCATTTATCATATTCACACCTAGTGTTTTTTTTATACCCTGAACCCATTAAAAATGGGTATAAGGGTATATTGTATTTGTGCAAAATCCAAATGTATGTAACAGGCAGAATGAAGCATCTCCGACCCCATAGTATCTTGATCAGCACCAATAGCCGAGTCGATCTTGCCATGTCCGTCTGAAATTTTAGATGTAGATGCTCCTAGTTCCCGCGCAGATCGAGTTTATTTCCGATAATCGATAACTTACTCCGTTTCCCAGCAATCGATAAAAATCGATATCGACATCCTGTTTTTTTTTTTTTGCAAATTGGGTAAATAATAAGAGCTAGAGCCACCAAACATGATATGTTGCTTCTAGAATATTATAGATATTTCAAGTATCTTTCATTTCATACCTATCGCCACCTCCCCACTACCACCCCAGAGCTATAAATCAAGTTAATAACCCAACTTTTATTGCCAAGCAATTTAAGCCTCAATTTAAATGCAATTGATTTTTTCAGTATACACAAATATTCTACGGTACAGAAAGATATACTGTAGAAAATTTCATAAAGATAAGAAAAACCAAAGTTATATGCAACTGCGCAATAGGATGGGGCAGCAGCTTTAAGAATTTCTGTATACATGTACACACACACATTCATGCGCGTCTGCTTCGCATTCTAACAGCATGGGAATTGCATCTTTTTTTTGTTATGTTATTTAAGTTCCTTTTTTATCATATGTACTTAATTGTTGGTGTGTGTCTGCTGAGTAGAGGCATAGCAGGTGGTGCGGTCTGTCGCGAGTTCGTAACCTACCGGGGAAAGTATTATTTTGTTTTTTTGCTGGTGTGTCTGTTGAGTAGAGTCAACAGCAAGTAATGCGGTCAGTTGCGAGTTCGAGCCCTGCCAAGGGAACTTTTTTTTATTAATTTATTTGGTGTTTGAATAAGAGAATTACTTGTTTTAAATTTTAAATAGGGTCATTTAACTCATTTTCTTGTGCGTTTTCATCTTGGCAGCACCGCATCTTTAACTTCACCAGCATACGTTCATCAATCGCTATGCTTAAATTGTCTTAAGGCCTGTCAAATGTCAACGATTCATTATTAAATCATGATTGTAAACATTGTCGTGCCTTTTATAAGGAGGTAGAAAGGCAAAGCTACCTGCGCTTATTTAATATACATATACAGGCTTCCGTCTTCTATTAAACACAGGATCAGAGATATATCACTACAATACACAAGCGCACTAGGAATTGCATGTCAACCATCCACCATTAATGTAGCATGTATTTAATCAATAATTATTAACAAATTATATGGGTTTTCCAACTTTTTCATTTGTTAACAACAACTCTACACTTTCAAATGTGTTGGGACATCTTGTAAAGGAAGATGAAGATGAAACTGTTACTTGAAAAATGTATTTCAAACGGTTATCGAAAGATACCCCCAGTTGCCGATGTTTTCAACAAAATGCACACAAGCAACACTCCTGGAGTTCATTGGATCTAAGACGGTAACACGTTCACTTTCGTAAGTTTGCGCACCCTGCTTATACTTAAAGTACTTTCCTAAGTATCTCGCGTAGTTGATCAGCTCGACCTGTTAGCGTTAGTAACCATACAATTACAAATTTTGTTTAAAAAATTATAGCTTTTCGATAAAGGCTGGACTATTTTATTTTCACTTTACCTGTCCGAGAAGTGGCAATGGCATGGCAATAACATTCTCTTAAAAAAACCATCCAAGCCTGGCATAACATATTGGTTACACATCAAGTCTTATCGAGCTTCATGCTCTTTCAGACGCATCAATAAAGGGCTATGTCGCTGTTGTTTATATTCGGATGGCGAACTCTGACTGAAAGTAACATTGAAATTACTTTCTTTTCTGCAAATTAGTTTAATCAAGCAACGATCATAATGATAATGCTTGTAATTTTTAGGAGTGAAAGAAGCTATTAGCAATGAAGCGATTATTTCGAAAGCACAAGTGAA